TCAGAGCGACTCACAAGAGAAAACGGAATCGACCCACTTGATAAACAGTTCGATCAACTGTAACTTCATGTCACTACCTGTTCACAGACACCAGCGTGATTTAAGCCTCGATCGATCAGATCAATAAGAAGTTGGTTGATTTGCGGTCTTTTGTTTCGACGCGCAGACACATGTGATGCGTGTAGAGTGAATCAGTGAAGTACTGTATGCGGTTTAGAGTGTATGGTGTAGGCACACACACTTCCGTTTCTGTGGTAACTTTGTAGGTTTTGGCTGACACTTTGGGTTGCAGCATATGCTATTACGCTCACTCCTTGAGGACGACAAGTATTGGCAGGTCCACTCGAGGCTACTATAGGTGGCTTTCAGGGGGCTTAGATATGTCCCCCTGTGATGTTCAGATTAATGATCCATTGTCGGCATGCTTTTCTATACGAAGTGACTGATTATCAAAATGAATGAGATGAACGGCAGTTCACTTGATTGCATTGAAGCAAAGAATGATACACCCGAGCACGTTTGACCCTTTGTTTCATCAAATACACTAATGACTGTGCAACGTTTGTTCAGGCAGAGCGTAGGATTGGTGGAAACTCGAGAATTGCGCCTACATGATGAGTCCTAAAGAGGGTGAAACCGGTCGTGGGCTGTCGAGCAATTTACAGCGAACTTGGGAGTAGTGCGTAACGACTGAAACACTAGTTCTTCGTTCTAACGGATGGCATTGTAAACAATCTCACGAGAGGAGTTTCAATGGAAGCGACCAATATTGCAGTTCACCAGAGGATGAGTTTCCTCCGAAAACAGAAATGCATGTACACATGAGTTGGAAAACAGACACTGGAAGTTAGAGTGACACTAAAGGATGGGAACGACTTGTTGAAAGATTTGAACAATTAAATCTGATGAGGAAACAGAAATGACCCCTAACCCTAGCGGGATGTTAGTGGGGTACTAAGTTACAGTCCAGCAAAGTAAAACCGTTTATTCCTTGTGATCAGCTGGGACAGTTACTATAGACAATGAAATTAGCGTTGAGCACCAAAAGATCCCACTTCGATGGAAAGAAAGGAAGTAAGGCTAGAATTAGCGGAGAAAAGTCAGTCAGGCGTGGAAGGGGACCTATGTTATCCTGGACAAGGGTAAGTGCGATTCGGAACGTGGACTGTCTCTTGTCTGACGGGAGTATACGCAACCTTACCGTATAAAATGGCATTCACTGAGATTCTCTATAGAACTAACTGTTCAGAATTACTCCTCAAACGACCACACTTGATTTATATATCTCAGCCATGTCCAAAATCACCTGTTTTTTAAGTACTTCTCACAATAACTTTTGGTACGTTATTCAACCTTTTGAGGAGTAAAACTCAATTAGTCTGTTGAGCGACTACTTTGACATATATGCGGGTGAAACGAGCAACCAAACCTTCTCTCGTAGTTTCTGAGAGTCATTACTGAATGCTGTCTGCTGATTGATCGAAATACGAGCCAAAACGCAGGTTTACAATTTTGTACTTCTTAACTGCACACCAGAAAAAGTCACGTAGCTTTCCAGTTTTAGAAAATTTATGGGTGCAAAAGAGCACTCCTGACCCAGTGCTGGTCACCGATAAAAACAATATAAGCTTTTAAAAATCCTTTCAGCTACTCAGTCTGTATAAATGCGAAAGGGGGACTTCTTACTCAACATGATATACCTTAAGTATGTATGCTTTATGATATATGCTAAGATATATGATGTGTCCTAGGTGATATACCGAAGGAACTTAAAATATGCAATACGAGGGATTCCGCTGAAGTCCCGGTTCCAGCACTTATAACTGCATCTGTTCGATAAGCCTCAAAAGCATCATCGGACACAATAGTGGTCTGCTTGTAGAATTTCTACAGTTTTCCAATAGTACCGTAGGCTCTTCACTAGCCCGCATCCTTAGAGCACTTTATTCAAGTGCTTTGCCCTGCTAATCGGGAGCTTTCATGCGGTTCTTCGACCGAAGAATTGTGGCAACGGGCTTCGCTGATGGGCAACTCCATAATGGCTGCTTGTTTTGAGAAACCACGCATCCTACAAAAGTCGGTCCGGTGATCCGCTCAGACGTGATAATCCGGGAGCGTCCAGCGTGCTCTTGGTAACTGATGGTGACACAGTCACCCCAGAAGATCGGAGCACACACTCGCACCGACGGATAATAATGAAGAGGCTCAAATACAGGATATCATCCCGTAGGCATGTTGGATCCGGGTTAAATACACCCATACAGGAGGATTGTACAGAGGGGAGTGAGTTGGATTAAAATAGAACAAGGTTGCAAATCTCTCGGAAAAATTCAAATGCGCTTGATGGGAACCGTCCAAATTCTCGCTCGTTTGCTGCGACCTGCAAGTATATCTGCCGCCAAATATGGTCTTGCACTGGACTCCTAGACCATGGCCACTCCTTTCCGACTAACTTAATGGCAAAACTTATACTGACACGATCTCAGTGGTCAGGAGGTTACGGTTAGATATTCAGTGAAGTGCGGACATATGGTTGATCACTTACATCACTTGGCTACATGTGATATTGCAAAAGCCTGTAAACGGTGCTTTTGGACGGAAATTGTGGGGTGTGTAGTGGTGATTTCGGTAGAGTCCAATGTTTCGAACTCTCATTTCTAAATCGACCTGAATGGTGTTTTGCCAAAGCAGAGGATATGTACAGATGCACAAAAGTGAATTAATCCTAGTGGAAAGCCAAATCAGTGGACAAATTATAAAGTAGTGATCGTGAGGAAAAAGCGATTTTGTCGAGACCAGGTCCTTATTAAATATGTAATGTGAACTCTGCGGTTTTTACATGGTCTGGGGATAGTGAGTGAGCTGACGACTACAATGGCACTCACCGTTGCCAGATGGGTACTAAAAACAACTTTAATTTCGTCGACTACGTAGTAAAAATTCCAAATGAAAATTCTACCTGCTTATGTGCACCAGGGACAGGCTCAAAAATGGAGACGCATGAAAGTGACGTACAGAGTTCCAGTATCAAACCACACAAAAGGGCCTACGAGAGAGTTAATACCATCTGCGCTTAAGTTAGCTAGATCGATGAATCAGGGAATCGGTGGTAGGTCAGTCAGCTTATATATAATCGACTCAAGTAATTTATCTGTAGAGTTCAACCCATCAGATCAAAAGCGGTCACAAAATAACCATCGGGATCTAGATCACTAGTTTCATAAAAGTATTCTGGATCATTTCACTGGAGATCAAAGAGGTCACAATCGGCTTGGCATTCTGGTGGAAGGGAAATTGGTAACTAATCCGCAAAGATATTTGACTGCTTGTGATCGATGGTAATTTAGGCATTCTATTGAGTATTGCCGTCTGTGTATCAAATCGGTCTTTAATCTCCAAAATACCTGTGGAAATTACTGTGTCCAGTAACCAGTGGATCGCTAGTGAGCGTCTCTACGAATCGATTTCCACTGTAACTTCAATTAGGTGCTTGCACAGTATAATTACTTTTGGTTTATTAGTGTCCCTCATCTCGTTCGTTCAAAAGTTGTGTCCATACGCCTGCGTCTCAGGGCTGGGATAAAGATTAATCACGTGGCCACCTGTTTAGCACAGCAAAGTCCAATTCTATGTCAATGAGGTTTCATGCAAGTTTCCTGAGACCTGGGACCGAAATCTCCCGGGCCTGACGCCTTGATCGTGCGTAGCTACTCTGAAACCTCAGGAGGTATAGGGACTGATGGAATACCAAGTCACTCAAACGCAGATGGGAGCAACCAAAAGCCACAGGTTATTTCAAACCACAAATTTTTCTCTGTATCAAGTTTCAGAAGGCACAGATTATCTCGAGTGCATGCGGATTGGCGACACAGATCAATATATACTGTAGAAACAGCATTTAGGGTAGATTTTATCCTGCTGCATTTGACTGAACTAAAACAGACCATTAATCGATTTCGCGGCTGGAAACCTATACTATTTTCACAACACGTGACAATACGATAACCGATGTACCTGAACTGTATTTCCGAATCAGCTATATGTATTTTTCCGCAGCTGTCTCATATCTGACCCCCAACAAATAGACTTAATTCTTAAATGTCTTGCGTATCGTGACTCGATCGATAAAACCATAGTAGTCTCAGCGTGACGTTCAAAACTTTCTTTTTATAATTTGGTCTCCAATTTGAAAATATGACTGAGGAATTTCGGGAACTACTTGATGGGTCCCAGCAAGGGTCAAATTTTACTGGGCTACCCAAGGTGTACATTAACTCGATGAATATTGTCATATAAGAAGAAACACTTGCCTGTGTGCAGCACATTCAGCTGGAGAACATCATAAACGAGAGATTCAATTGAGTCTCCCGTGAAAACCAAATTGATTTGCAGATGAGTTTCTCGTCTCGAAAACAGTGCAATTTGGGTTCAAGTAGACCAAAAGGTTGACGGAAACTCGGGGACTGCGCCTACCTGATGAGCCCCAAGAAGGGCGAAGCCGGTCGTGGGCTGTCGAAGAGTTTTCAGCAACCTTGTGAGTAGTTTCCTTTATGAAAACACTTCAGTATCTTCAGTGTGATTTTGAATGGAGCAACGAGTATTCATCGAAGAGGAGACTTGGTAATATGTAAATTTTAAAAGAGAGATTTAGCTGATGTTTAGTGCACCAATGTCTTTGGGGGGAGAGTTTATTGCTTCGCGTCTCAAGCCCCCAACAATCGGTAGAGCCTGGTGAATAAAGCAGAATTGAACCTTCCGATTGGCTTTAGTGGAATTACCGTTGTACTTGGTTTAACCGTGAACGGGGTTACACAGTGTGGTCATCTCAGAAATACAGACAGTCTTTGGTATAGATGTATAGTAGTTCAACGAAAACCGGTTTAACTGGGGGCGATGATCTATCAGACCTACTCGGCGCTGGTGTCCAATGCTTATTCGGCCGTGGTGTACCCTTCGGCAGTTGAGTCCCCCTATTCAGTGTATTAGAATGCAAATCATTCCGGCTTTTTATCAGTGAACTGTTTACTACAGTGAGCAGAAAGTGACAAGCTATGTCAATCCCAGCTAGATTTAAGGCCAAAACCTTCATAAATGGCAGCGGTTTCCTCAATCGTTGTTAATAGTGTCCATCAATGTTATCAATGTTACTGAAATTTTTAATGTTTATTAGTTAAAATAAGGACAAGATCTCCATTCTGCTTCTTCTCTTTGATTGGATGACTGGTAATTCTGATTTAGTTCGCAAACGTTAGGGAACAACTTACTAACATAATAAAACACATCGTAAAAACAAATTAGGCCACGCATAACATTTGTAAAACAGGCAGCTTTATTAGTTGCAGTCATTCATGAACCGAAATACTCAAAGTGGTGTTATCACGCCGAAAGGAAGGAGTTTTTTCCCGAAAAAATCAATATAAGTTATTGATCAAAGGACTGAACCGTATAATTCTTAAGCTAATTCTTCCTCATCCTCTTCGAATTCGCCACCATCATCCGCTGTGGCTTCCTGGTACTGTTGGTATTCGCTGACCAAATCGTTCATGTTAGATTCGGCCTCAGTGAACTCCATCTCGTCCATTCCTTCTCCAGGTACCAATGCCAAAAAGGCTTTCACCTTAAACATACGCGTGAATTGTTCATCGGCCTCAGTGAACTCCATCTCGTCCATTCCTTCTCCAGTGTACCAATGCAAAAAGGCTTTCACCTTAAACATACGCGTGAATTGTTCAGAAATTCGTCGGAATAGTTCCTGAATGGCAGTACTGTTTCCGATGAACGTAGAGGACATTTTCAAACCACGAGGTGGAATATCACAAACCGCGGTTTTCACATTGTTCGGAATCCACTCCACGAAAAAGCTGGAGTTTTTATTTTGTACGTTGAGCATTTGTTCGTCAACCTCTTTCATAGACATTGGCCCGCGGAACATGGCAGCAACGGTCAAATATCGACCGTGACGCGGATCACAGGCTGCCATCATGTTCTTTGCATCAAACATTTGCTGAGTGAGTTCCGCGACAGTTAGTGCTCGATATTGCTGACTTCCACGGCTGGTGAGCGGAGCGAATCCAGGCATGAAAAAGTGCAATCGGGGGAACGGAACCATATTGACTGCCAGTTTCCGTAAATCGGCATTGAGTTGTCCAGGGAATCGTAGACAAGTCGTGACCCCGGACATTGTTGCACTGACCAGATGGTTTAGGTCACCATACGTTGGATTCGTCAGTTTCAATGTACGGAAACAAATATCATACAAGGCTTCGTTGTCAATGCAGAATGTCTCATCCGTGTTTTCAACCAGCTGATGAACAGACAGTGTGGCGTTGTAGGGTTCGACGACCGTATCAGATACCTTGGAAAAAAAGGAATGATATTATTAGGGCCTTCTTGCCTTCTTCGTAGACTGTCCAACGACTATATACGGATGCGCATAAAATCTGTTTCCATACAACCTGAGAGACCGTAGTTCAAAATGACCCTCAACAGTTTCCATTCATATTCATTCACTTGGTTTAACCGAAAATTGTTTATTCCAACACCAAAAAATCGGTATGGGATAATTTTAAGTCATGAGAACTATCAATAATTAATGCCAACAAACTTCCTGACTTTAGGATTTTGATGTCGACCTTTCTGTTTATTCTCACATGTTCCAATGTGTTGAAGATGTTCAGTGGACCCTAGCGCCAACCACTCAGAGAGGAACAGGACCGCTTTGAAAAAAACAATACTAATAGGACTGCCTGCACTCCCCTGAGAGCGAAACATAACCTTGAATTGTTCGGAAGAATGTAACCACCAGTAATCACCAGACAGAAATTTCAGACTTTTTCAAAATAAGACAGTCATATTTGGTTAGATCTGAAGGTTAACTTTCACACTCGGTTGGAAGCAGTGAAAACTAGGAAATTTCCGCAAAAAATTTCCGAGATATTCATCCATTCTCAGGGCACACTAACCAAATAGACGAAACTCTCAAGGCTAGCCGTATCAGTTCCTAGCCCCTTGGTCGGTCATTTGTCACCACATTGATCGAAAACATGGGCATGAAGCTGTGCTCGATCGGCTGTGACTATCGTCGTTCAGCCCGTTTGCGAGGGCTCGCACGCGTGAGGTCCATGCGCCTAGGCTGCTGTCCTGGGGTGGTCACATCTTGGCTTCGGTACCATCACCCTAAGTCAACGGCCGCACAGCCCACATGCAGCCACTACTCGCACGCGTGAGGTCCATGCGCCTAGGCTGCTGTCCTGGGGTGGTCACATCTTGGCTTCGGTACCATCACCCTAAGTCAACGGCCGCACAGCCCACATGCATGCAGCCACTAGAACGAAAGCAAAGAGGGGCTTTCCCACGTCAGTGATAAACGGCCAAAGCAAAATGTGGTTCTGCGTTTACGTGTACACTCGAGTTTACACTCCAGGACCGGTGATGCTACTGATGGGGAGACATGCGAGTAGTATGTTTTCTCCTTTGTAGCATTTGCTTGGATTTGAACAACAGTCAATGAATATCCAGGATGTTCAGGAAGATGTTTTCAAGAGAAGATGGATGTTCGGTTTTTGTAAACAAGATGCATTTGAGAGTTTTGCTTCCCTGTCCAATTGTCTGTAACTGGTCAGTTGGAATTTTCTAATAAGTAACTCCGCATCGAAAGCCTTCTCTCTTTCACTATCACCTCAAGTCAACGCCCACACAGCCCACATGCATGCAGCCACTAGGGAGAAAACAAAGAGGGGCTTTCCTACGTCAGTGATAAACGACCAAAGCAAAATGCGGTCCTGCGTTTGCGTGTACAATCGAATTTACACTCCAGGACCGTGACCAGACGATCTTTATCCGTGATATTTCTTAGACTGATCTTTTCACATCAAATTCGGTTAATGAGTAACATAAACAAGCGATTCATATGAACCCGCTGTTAACATCAAGGTAATTTGCAACTAAATGCATCTCATCGACTGCGTACAGTTTTGCGTAATTTTTTTTGTAAAATTTTTGGAAACTCGGAGGCTTCGCCCAGTTGAAGTGCTGTCTAAGAGTTTTTCAACAGCCTTATGAGTAAAATCAATTGGGAAGTGCTTGGGACCGATTGGGTAGTCATAGTTTCAGAGAGCTTCAGTAAATCCACCGATTGTTTACCAAACCTGTCTGAAGTCTTGTGAGTAGTTTGCTATGACTTGGAACACATGTTTAATTATCACTGGGTACTCGATCCTATGTCCCTAAAACTCTTAAAGAGACCCCACGCCAAGATCCAATCAGGTTTTCCTCAACCAAGCAACTTTGCTGTATGTTAGAGCTCCACGCACATATGACGTATCGTAGAACGGACAAAACTGTCGAACGAAATTCTTCGATCACAACTCAATCTGGGGGACCTGAACCTAATGAGAGACGGTTCCTTGTTCAAAAACTTACTCGTTTACTCCTCACGGTAACAAAAATGCCCTGAGTGACTAAGGCACGATTTGAGGAAGGCCTACTGGAGATGGAGAAAGTACTGCATGAGGAGGAAATTGCCGCGCCTAAGAATGAGTTGCGCTTTTCTGTGCAACCAAAACACATGAGTGCAGAACCACAATCCGTTGGAGGCGTAACCGCCCCAAAGATAGCCATTCCAAATTATCTGACTTCGAGCAAGTTGTTGAAGGTGCAAGGTTGGTGTTTTTTTATTTCTGCACTTGAAGTACCCTGTCTGCGAGCACCCTCACAACTGCTCATCCATGTTTGGCGTCTCGTGTGTTTGAATCGTGCGGATCGCTAAGGGCATTACTCGCACTCAGTGGAATAACTAGGATGCCAGTCTCAGGTAAAAGCTATGGTTGTGAAAATTGTCATATGAAGATCATGAAGTGCATGTACCCTTTGGATGCAGGAAGATTGTGTAAATTTGGAAAAGGTTTTTCGGCGGGTGTGTTTGGTTTGGGTCGTCTCGATTTGTAGAAAGTGCATCAAGTAATCCGAATCATAGGTTACCGACTGAGATAGGAATCAACCCGCTACCCAAAGAAAAGAAAGCCGTTTTTCTCTCGCACACAGAAGCTGTAACAAACACCCCCCTCAAGAAACACCTACAACAACCAGATTCCCAGACTCCATTGCCTGGTATGCGATTGTAGGACGATTGTCAGCACAGTCGTGGATGAATTCAAGGATTTGAAAAGAAGATACTACAGGGAGTGATGATGTGATGGGAATGTTTGAATACTCTACCGTCCTGGCCTCTCTGACCATATCATGTACCAAAGAGTGCTGATAAAGTTCTTTTGCTTCGGTACACTATCATGTTAAGATGTTTGTTTGGGTGAAATAAAGAAGAGTGAACACAAGGGAGGGGCAAACAATGGTTCCAAAAGGTCACCAGAATTTATATGCAATACATTAGTGTCTGTCTAATCCTTATTCGCATACACAGATCTCTCCTGGACTATCGCGAGCAACGGTTCATAGTTATTCCGCTGTATATAGTGTCACAAGATTATAACTAGTTGTCAGTAGGTGATATCATTACACCTGAGATCGAAGTGTCGGAAGTGAACGCAACCAACTCTAACTTAGGGGACCCTAAATCAATTTCGGAGTGAGATCGGCTTATGACTTTCCAGCCCATGGAAACGAAAGAGTGCGGGACGTAGCATACAACAAGAAAGGGAATTCGCTGTTAAGGCGACGCCATGGGAACCAATAATCCCAGTAGCCCCAAAGCAGCATAAATAGGATTTAATCAACCGAACGTGCCTTGTTGCAGAAACCGAAAATAAGGAGTCCATGGGTTTGAACCAGTGAACCAGCGAGGTGTCATTCAACTAGCAAACCCAGCGAATTGTCCAACTAACAGCAGTCATTATAGATTCTCACGAGGACGCCGCATCTGCTGACACAGCAACCGAGCCGCCGTATGTTGCAAAGTAATCGCCACAGAGCAGATTTGCGCAGACATCAATTGATGTTCTGAATAGGGGTATGTTATTTGGCTTCTTTCAAAGTAGATCTGTTAGTGTTGACTCGTGCACAATGGGGGTTTCACCTATGACAAATGCCAGAAGTTATCCTCCGATGGATCGGCTGTTTAGAACAGATACGGATGAAACGACTGTAAGAGTGTCAGCACAACAGAAAATCTGACTGCTTCCGCTTTGATCATTCCGAACACAGGGCGAGACTGTCAACATGGGTTCACCCAGTTTGTCCCAGATTCCCAGTTCAACTGGTTTGGGGTAAATGTGAATTCGTTGGTCAAATATCATAGTAAAATACGTTTGATGTCATAACCATTGCTGATCCACAATCTCTACTGATCAGTTGACTACTTCAGGCTTGACCTTGCCCAGTATACAGGCGCGACATCAATCAAAGAAACATGTGACGATGGTAATACGGAGTGATAACTTAGGAGATATGCAGTTTCTTGTAAGTATCAGTATTTTCGTGACAGATAAGCTTGTTTAGTGGCTCTAATGAGAATCTGAGCAGCAGGCAAAAGGTTACATTTTTGTGCTGACTTGGACGATAGACGTTGATCTCCACGCTGCATTAACATGTGTCGATTTCAGAGAGGCTATCCTATTGACCATTCGGAGCTTTCTGTGTTGTGTATAATAAACTACCATAACAAATGATAGTTTCTAGTGATGCGTAGACTAATCTGAGGTCTGGCTACTCACGTCCAGAACGTCTGCTGAGACTTACCCGTTGGAATACAAGCCAGAGAACATCCTACAGAAAACATCCTATTCTAACAGGGAGCTAAAGTTCGACGGGGTTTGTTTCACTAACCCACATGAACGAATGACGAGAGTCCAAAGCGAAGCACACATAAAATACCCGGCTTACCTTTGGTGAGGGTACAACAGAAAAGGTGCTCATTATTCGATCTGGATACTCTTCGCGAATCTTCGATATCAGCAGCGTCCCCATACCCGACCCTGTCCCACCACCCAGAGAATGGGTAAGCTGGAATCCTTGCAATGAATCTGTGGATTCGGCTTCCTTGCGCACAACATCCAATACATTGTCCACCAACTCTGCGCCTTCAGTGTAATGCCCTTTGGCCCAATTGTTTCCAGCTCCACTTTGACCGAACACGAAATTGTCCGGACGAAACAGTTTGCCGAATGGTCCTGCTCTCACACTATCCATGGTTCCAGGCTCTAGATCCACGAGAATCGCTCTCGGTACGTAGTTACCTCCACTAGCTTCATTGAAGTAGACGTTAATGCGTTCTAACTGTAGAGGCGAGTCACCATGGTACTTTCCCGTCGGATCGACACCATGTTCGTCCGATATGACTTCCCAAAACTGGGGGCAGAGTGCATAAAGAACGATAAATGTTCTATGGGCTCGATAAACCATAAAATTATTCTGCGTAGCGAACAGTAAACGCAACTCACCTTTGAACCAATTTGGTTTCCGCACTGTCCAGCTTGGATGTGGACGATTTCGCGCATTTTCAATCGCCAGGATGATAGAAGCAAACTACTTGTTTGAACATTAAATCACCGGCTAACCTGGATCAGAGACTCGGTGAATAACGTGATTGGTTACACTCTGGTGCGCATGTGTATGTTGAATATGGCCTACACCAACTACCTGGCTTAGCAGAACTCAAACACTGATTGGTTGAGAATGACTTGGTGAAGGCGCCTGCCCCATTCCGGGAGTGTAAGCATGAAGCTACCTGTGTTTCTGGAACTTCTGAACTTCCAACTTCGGATCAATTTTTCGAGGAAAACTTCTATTAGTTACCCAACATTAAAAACATACGGTAATGTAATTCCCTTACATGAATATATTGCCGGTTCCATTCCAAACATTTCCGTACCACCTGTGTATGCTTAATATAATGACGTGATAATGATGGTGATGATAATGATGATGGCTTGTTATCACTCTCTGGGAGAAACGGGACTTGCATCTGACCTGTAAACCGAGGCCATGATCAGCCCTGTGATACGAAGCTGCTGATAAATAAAAACATAGAAATAGGAAAACAGGGGGAAACAATTAAGTCATGAAACTCTTTAGGATTTGTCATAATGAAGAACTGGAACCATCTAGGGGGCATGGAGAACAACAAAACTCGGCTAAATCAGAGAGTCAGTAGGTAAGTAAGTAGTGGAAGCACGAGGGCTAAGAAACGGTCAGGTTACCCTAACCGAGACAGGCGTGATCGGAATGCACAGGTTGGGTTCGAAAGATAGACATTCTGCCAATAATTTAACGTCTTCACCATTAAGCACCCCGGGCTCATCATTTTAGGACATAATGAGCGCGTGGTTATGGCGTCACCTCGATTGGCGATGGGACGTCAGGAAGTTAACTGCCAACCTGGACAAACGAATCAGCGGCCACCTGATCAAACTTCAGGGAAAGCACGCGGGCTACCAAAATTTCCGTGCATCTCCGTTTAATTTATCCCTTCTTACACCTTCCTTCCTTACGAATTTACTATGTAAGATGGAAATTCCTCCCCCAGTGGTACACGAAGCTTGGCTTGACTTGACTTATCCTGTATGACTGAAACGAATCTAGCGTATTTAGTTTCCATCGTTTCAGTTCGGCAGCAGTACCGACGTGCACTCCGATTTAAACACTCAATGACGTTGTTTTATCGCGCCCCCTTTGCTGCCTCATGAAGCTAAGTGCAGAAGAACCTGGGTTGAAACGATCGATGTAAGAGTACGTGGGTACGCTGCAAGGCTTGGAATTTAAAATTCATGTCGTGTAGCAGGGGTATCCGGTGAAGCTGTCACATGCGTCCGGACTTAAGCAACCCACTTTCATATGTATACCGCTGGCGAATTTTCAGTGAGCAGTTTTTGATGGATAGTTTGATGACCGCCTCCGTGTGCTTTGTCAAGGCAGAAAAACTTTGATGATCTACTACTTAGTATGCACCAAAAGTGACCATCTAGATCACTAGAAAGTGTAAGGATCACAAGTAGTGGGGTTGTTAATGCTCTAACGGAACCCGAAAACTAGGAATACGACCGAGAAAACGGGGAGCACTAACAATGTCCGCTTGTTGAGTAAAATTATTACAATAGATATATATGCAAACAAGGGACTTATCGTTTTGCAGGTACAGTTTGCTAAATCCTGTTGTAAATCCGGATGCAGGTTTCGTGTCTTCTTCGCTGTTGTACCAGCCACACGTAGTCCTGGATATCCGTGACTGAAACGCCGTAAAAATCCTGAGCGGCTCTGCTCCGAGCCGGGCGACGTGCGAAGCTCTGTTGAGTTGTTTCGTGTTGCTGTGCTGGCATCCTGTTTGTGGGACGTTTGCGTGTGTGTGGGTATCAGCACATGACTTTTTGCTACCGTATCAGACGGTAGACAGTCGATATCGGATGTGCATCGTGGTTTGTACTATTAGGGAAAAAACGAGGCCCCGGGATGAAGGGCTTGACTGTGAGCTGTGTAGTCAAGCTAGTCACGACTGTGGCGTGATTTGTGAGTGCAAGAAAAAAAGACAGATCTCGTGATCCAGCGAGTGGCGGTGACCTGTACAATCATGTATGTGGCGAAAGGGTAGCTACAGGGTAGGCAAGGTTAATGCCAGTCCTATTAGAGTAGTGCAAAGCACTTGCATTCTATCTTCGGTTGATTGAAGAACTATTTAAAGTATTCACTTTAGAAGCCGCAAATGCATCGGCTGCAAACATAGAACCTGGGCTCATTCAGGCACTTCAGAAGTAGTCTGTGACATTGCAGGAAATTTTTAAAGGATGACAAATCTAAGTGATGCTGAGTGCCAGGTGTAATAAGCTATAGGTGAAGCGACTACTTTATTGTTGATTTATGGGATAGGCTGGCTATGCCCATGGGAGTATGTGATCTACAATTTCTGTTAGAAACCTAGTCAATCTGAAAGTGCATGCTATTGATGGTTCAGATCTGCTTTCATTATAAGCATCTGACTTTGGTGGGCAGAAAATTATACACAACAGATGTGCAACTATCATCTTGCTAACGTTCACGTAGAAATGATTGTGAGTCTTTGGTAGAGATAACCTGTATTCCTTAAGCTAGAAATCCATAGAAGTTCTCGGTTTCTTCATCATGTCATGTCACACTCAGTCGTTCGACCATGTCTCAAATCATTTAATGAGCCATTTACCGCATTTGACATCAGGTTTTCTCCGATGCAGGCATAACCCAAAAAAGTGCTGCATGGAGAGAGGACGTGGAGTGCCGATAGGGCAAATTTGTCCATCGAATCTATTGGTGCCTTTAAGCTTCGCTTGATGTGCATGAAACTCGCGTATTCAAGACCACAATCCTAGCATTCTGTATCGTGATATCGCACCCAACCGTGTGTTTGCACTCTTTACGACTGGGCCTTTTACACAAAAGCACACCTATCCGCATCATTGATAATGACTGGAGGTCAACCTTGCCAACAGGAATATGCACCACATGGAACGGAACGACAGGAAACTTGGCCGCCATTCAACTTGAGTACTGCTTGAGGATAGCCAGGAAGTTATTGCAAACTTTGTGTGACAATCTGAAATATAAGTTGCTGTCGGCAGCAAATATTTCTAACGTGAAAGAGGGTTTCAGGAGTTGCGTTTGAAGCGCGGACGTATTGTGCTTCACACTTCATGAGCCGTTAGAAAGCAAGAGCGACAGAAAGGTGTGGCTTGGATGGATGAACACAGCTAGGAGTACAGGGTGTCACACTTTATGGAATTACAAATGGGAAATGGTGGTGAGAAAATGTACAATCTGCATAATCAATGTGGATGGGTTTGTAACTGCTGTTGCACAGGAGAAAAGGGACATTCGTAATTGGCCAAATCTTATAGATGACTTGTGATTCGATACCCTGGGAAAATAAAACTCATTTGATCCATATCTGCATCATCACACATAAATATCAGCTGTATCCACGCGCACGTAGAGAACTATTCGAAAAAATGATTTTTTTTACACACCAATATCTTGTTTCTTCTCAAAAATCAATAAACGACATGACTCACCAATCTAATGTAACTAGCTACGACCAAATCAGTTGGTAACATATCTCAGCATTAAGCTGATAGTGTAGTGTGAGAGACATCAAATTTGGTGTTATTCATCAGAGAATATCGATTTTTTTCAGAGTGCACCGAAGAAATATGCTAGTACTGAAACTGAAGAAGCTGACCATAAGACCTATCAATGTTCCAAACACTTCATTTTGTTGTCATGCACTCTGAGAAGCTCAACGTCTTCCCTGAAATTATGTAAAATGTAACTTAATAACGACTAGTCCGTCTTACGCCACGGGAAGGACGCAGTATAATCAGATTTTCTATTTCCGGCATATCCGACGATGTCGCTGTCACAGGGGCCTACCCTGGACTCTGTCACGGTAATATGGCCATCTTACATCCTTTAGGTGTGTTGGGAAAAGGCGTGTGGTGAATGGGCATAGTTTCCAAAACCTATTTCTGCTAAAACACCACGCAGGGGCTTTGGTGCTCGAGGCTGCAAGCCCCAACACCGGAATGAATGAGACTGGATGCAGTTGGAATTTTGACCCACTGAGAATCACAACTGCATGGTTCAGTCGAATACACAAGCGAAAATTCTAGTACTGTTGAATTGCTCTTAATTCTCCATCAAATATCATTATTTGGACCGCCAAAATATTTTGCGAAAGCGAATCAATAACCGGTAACATTTTGTTCAAAAATTCCTTGTTTTTATTATATTTTAAATTGAGATTGCTGAATGGCATTCCTAAGCAGCTATCTGTGGTTTTGAAATCTCAGGTACAGTGTAAAATTCTTGACCTAATAGTGCTTCACGTAGTTAACACTTTAAATACTAGAATTTGTTCCGATAATAAGTGACGACTGCTGGTCGTATTAGTACCGTTTTATCGGTCCGCTCCTCTGCCTACAGACGCACAAGGCTAAATTATTTCACGCACGTTAATTTTATTTCAGACATAGCAAGTGTGAGTTCGAAAGTGACGACGTAGTCATCGGTAAAAAAAGATTTTCTTCTTCCCGAAACCATGGGTATCAGATTGTCCTTCACATACGGAAAAACAAGCATTTACCTCAATCGACTCCGTCCCACGTAACTGGTTTGTGTACGCACACTCCGTGTGACGTCAGAGGCGAACCGTTTTATCGGTTAACCGGTGAATCAACTTGACTAACAAATGAACCGACTCAGTTGACAGTGCGTGTTGGAACATGTAACATGCGTGTTGATGGCCTACATGAGTGAGGTGACTTTCTAACGTAGTCGGACGACAACGTTGGAGACAGAACGTGGGCACAAGCCGTTATCATTCTTAAGTCATGCGTGGAATAACAAAGTGCGCCACTTAGCATTCCGTTAAAATTAATTTCATAAATCAGCGACGATCGGCTTCTTGTTTCTTTGTCAGCCATTTCAGTATGGCCTGTAAATCGGCCTGGCCGACTCCTGAAAAACGAATTAATGCATCTCTACCTGTGTAACGGTGATACTACTGATAGGGAGGCAT